AGGGCCTGGCTCAATATGGTTCATGGGGTCACGAAGAGTCGGACACGACTTAATGACTGAACAACAACAACAAAACCTCATTTTGCTTCCCCTAACCTAGTGACCTCCAGATGAATTCCAATTGCAACTTCAAAAATTCCCCAAGGGCACTGGCATCAATTTGGGGAACTGCCACCCCCACACATCTGGAGGGCATCGCCTTGAAGATGAGCCTTAGTCGAATTTACTAGGGTAAAGAAAACGCTTGAAATCTGCTGCCATCTAGTGATCGTTCAGATTTATGCTCCCTTGATTGACAGCTCTGCATTCACAGAAATAAACATGCACGGAATTGCAGCGTTAGCAAATACACGTACATCCTCGCCGTCACACACACACACACCCCCACCACAGTTCTTGCTTGAGCTGCATTTCGGAGCGCGCGCGCACCCTTGCGCGCTGCCAGACGCGAGCTGCCCTGCGGCTCCGCCAAGCGCCCTGCGCAGCGCCGGCCCTGTGCAGAAAACGGAGGAGAGCCTTACGCATGTGCGCAGAGCTGCTCGCGGGCCGTCCGACGCACTGGCTTGGGTGAGCCAGACAGGGCCCCCTGCTGCCCGCCGGCCGGCAATGCGGCGAGGAGGGCTTTAACCGAGCGAGGCGGCGCTGACTCAGCCAGGGCCGAAGGAAGCGCAGGGCAATGGCGCTCAGCCCCCCCGAGCGGCAGCCGGGCCCGCCGGAGCCCCCGCGCCCGGCGCCCCAGCAGCAGGACGACGAGGCGGACGACGAGGCCGCCCTCGACCCTCAGCGGCTGCGCGGCCTGGAGGCCGAGGGCGGCGGGATCCCGCTCCACTCGCCCTGGACCTTCTGGCTCGATAAGTGAGTGCGGGCGGGGAGACCGGATGGGGAAGGCGACGAGAAAGAGTGAGCGCGCAGCCTGCGCCCGGCTCGGCCCGGCCCGGCCCGGCGGTGGGGCGCGGGCGTGGCCCCCGGATCCCCCCGCCGGAGACGCCGAGCGGGCGGGCAGAGTTGGCCTTCGTTGGCCCTCTCCCCGGCCCTTCCCCCACGCGCCGGCAGCTCTCCGCTTTTCAAGGGCGAGGAGCGCGAACGAGCCAAGCCCGCCACGGCTCCCCTTCGCCGAGCATCTCGGCCGCCCACGCGCGGCTCATCGCTGGACCTCAGCCTACCTGGAAATGCCCTCTGCCTGTAGTGCTTTCTCCTGGCTGTTGCTAGCAGCGCCGAAGCCGCCGTCGTGGTGCTGGGAGTAAGGAAGGAGTGTGAGTCCAGTCGCAAGCTCTGCGGTGGCCACCCTCCTCCCCTCCCCCACACACTTTAAAGTGGGCAGAAATTCAACAAGTGCAGCTCCCTCGGATGCCCACAAGAGTTTGGGAAGCACGTAAAAATGGCAACGAGGCTGGCCGAGTTAGCGCCTCGCGCTAAAACACTGTGTGGTTTGTTTATGTTCAGTTTAGAGAAGGTGTGAAGCCAGCCGCTGTACCATCTGATTCACGTTTTATGGCTTGGCCTTAGATATGAACCGGATAACTGTTTTCTTTTCAAGAAACTGTGATTCAGACAAGCCCTGGCTAAGATTCTAGTTACCAAATACAGAGAAGAGGGTTCATTTCACTTTTGACACTTAGGCAATTTCACTGAACTTCTGAGCGCTTGCTTCTGAATTGCACTATTATGCATCGGCACTAATACAGGTTTAATTCATCTTTCCTAGAGGTTTTTTAAAAAATTAGTTGCACTTATCAGAAAGATCCATGACCTACCAGCCTTCCTCAAACTAGCTGATATTTTGGACTGCAAATTCCATCATCCCTAGCAGATTGCCTGTACTGATAGAAGGTTTTAATATTTTTTATTGTAAATAGATGTTGTTTTATGTTTTGGTTGTGAGCCACCCAGAGTTTGGTACAAGATGGGTGGCTATATAAATGTTTTAAATAAATAAAATAAATAACAGTTGTATTGATGGCAGTTGTAGCCCAGAGTATTTGGAGGGTTTCATAGTGGAGAAGGCTACCTTAAGGTAGGGATTCCCCGGCTGGGGAAAAAAAGCGTTTTATGGATACTGTTAAAGTGCTTTGATGTGAAAGTGTTGTCTGTAGCTCACTTTCCCAAGTAATTAAGAGAATTTAAGGGGAGTGTTAACTGGTTTGATTCGGTTTAGTTGACAACATTAGAGACCTCCAGGACGTTTGTAATAGCTGTTTTTTCTACAAATATAAAAGTTGGATCATAATTATCTTCAGGAAGATGCCTGCACCTTAAGGAGCCTTTTGCCGCTTAGCTTCTCACTCCTGATTCATTGGAATATTATCTTTTTTAAAAACAGCTATGATAGGCAAGGCTTCCAGATAAAAGTTGTTACTTGTACAGGCCTGAGCCTTTTTGAAGGAATTTAAATATTGAATCTTACTCCTCCCTGTTTAAGCATTATATTGCTATTTTTATCCTATAAACCTGATCACTTTTGTTCAAGCTTAACTTCTGATAAATTCTTAACTGCCCCATACTTGGTGAGTCGTTCTCTTTCAACATTCTTTCTCATTCCACATTTTAAAATTGGGCTGCCTGAGAATCTATACTCCCTACATCCATTTCGTTATACACAGAGACACATACCTCTTGCATCCCCTCTCCATTTTGCTTGAAAACATAATCATTTCTAAAAATATCTAAAGGTATTTTTGTGGCACATTTATAAGCCATGTTGACCTTTTCCCAGATCAAAAAGCATTCCAGATCTACTTTTTCAGTTATTCCAAAATCAGACAGTTATGCTTGTTTGTACTGAATCAGATTATGACTGGTGGCTTCTTTACTTTCCCTTGTAACTCCTTGATATCCCAACACTTGTTTCATTCCCTGTCCAGTCAGATCATGTAATAGGTGGCTGAGTTTCTTTACAGAACTGGAGTTGTAACTTGAGAAAGAAAGGAGTCCTTAAGGAATAAACAGCTTCCTCTGAGACAAGGCACTGTGGCCTGAAATGTTCTTATGACCAATTATATTTTATTAGCACTATTTTGAATGCTGAAGAGCTTGTCAAAAGAAAAATACTAAGGACAAAACCAGATGATTTGTTTCCCAGTTGAAATTTAAAAAGTTCAATCTGACTTCAACAACATAGGAGTTCTGATTCCTGACACTTATTTTCCCATATATTCTGATTTGTTGCTCAGTGAAAGTCTCTTTGGGTATATTGAAGTATCACAAACTTGAAATGGAAATGCACAGGGAAGTGTGATATGTGGGGATAGCATTCTGTACTCCTAGTTGCCCTTCCTTTTTTAGTCAGGTTCCTGCTTCCTCATTATGCAGTTAAGCACAAACTATTATAATCTCATCCTGGAGAGGGTCTCTTTATGAAGTCACTGAGAGTCAGCACCAATTTGATGGCACATAATCAAAATCATTATGATACCTAGATTGGCACTTATTCCAGACTGATGTTTTCTTGCAGTCATTGAATTGTACCTGTCTTAGATCAGGTTTTTTTTAATCCATGTATGCATGCTTGCTGAGAAATAAAGGAATACAATTGTGATGGAATGGAATTATGAAGGCCAGGCTCAGGGAGATAAACGTGTTCTTAGTTCACTGGAGGAGCATGGGAAATTCAAGAGGATGAGGCTGGCACCTCCCTGAGGAATTCATGGTGTTGTGGCTGGCTGGCTTGGGAGCTAGGTTTCAGGCTGGGGAGATTGATGTCAGGTTTAGCCCAAAGAACTCCAAGAGACAATGCAAATCCAGTTTTACTGTGTTTATTAGCTACAACCTCTAGACAGAAAAT